TTCAAGCATTTGATTCTTTTTTGTGTTGTCTCCATCTCATCTCCGTATGTCTTATGAATTTGTTTTAAGGGGGTTATACTCTTCCATCCTCCACCCAAGTAGAAACTTAGTTGTAAATTATTCAGAGTCATCCACTGATGTGTAGGGCCAGATATAGATTCTGGAAGCCTTGATTCCTCTGTCCATCCTCTGGCTACTAAATTTGGTTGGTGTATTTCATGATTTCCTAAAGGTTGGTTGGGTGAGAGAATGTTGTTTTCATTTCCTCGGTCTTCCAAGAGTTCTTTTAAGATTGGAAGAGGAATATGTAGTTTCCTGAACCTCTTGAAAAAAATGTGTTCTCCAACTCACTGGTGAACAGTGGAGGCATGGTGCAGTAGTAAAGTTTAAAGTTGGCAAATTTTCAGTCTGCCAACATCTTCTTTCCACGTATTGTGTTTTCCTTCTTTCCTGCACTTTGTGGCTGTGATAGAAGTCTTCCCCTTCCTTCTCAGTCTAGGGTCACCTGTTCTGTTTGCTTTTGTTTTTAACATATTGGCATAATCATCAAACTTAGTGCTCTATGGGGAGTTGCCTGGTGGTCTAGTGGTTAGGACTCAGCATTGTCAATACCATGTCCCAGGTTCTATTCCTGGTCTGGGAACTGAGATCTCACCAGCTTCCTAGCACAGTCAAAATAGAAAACAAAAAATAAGCAAAAGAAACAACAACAAAAAAACCTGGCACTCTGTATGGAGATGAAGTTTCTCTGTAATATCATTACCTTCTTTGGGTTTTAAGACTGTTGACATGTGCCTGCTTAGATGTCAGGATGGTTTGGTGGAAGTTCCTTTGTGCAGCATAGAGAGTTGAAAGGAGAAGGGGTAAAACAATAGTTGGCAGGTATTTGAGTGACCTGGCACCGGCCGGGGCGCCCCGTGACACAACCCCAGGGGGCGCCGTTGACATGTCTTCTGGCAGCAGTTTTCCTTCTTGGCTTCTGTCTGATCTCAGATCAAGGATACAGAGATGTGAGTCGGCCTCATCAGGACAGTGTTGACCTTTCTCAGGTGTCACCCTGCTGGCAAGTATTGCTTCTAGTTGGGTGAGCAGGGCTCCCCGTGTACCCCCTTTTTGGTCCAATATATTTATCAGAAGCCCACAGTCAGGTTTATCATTCTCTCCTGGGAACAGCCATGGTTCTGATCTGCAGCTTTGTTCTTTTAAGGACGAGGGCAGAGTGAACAGAGTATGAGGTGGGGGTGGAGGGGCCTGTATTCCCCTCGTCTGGTCTTTTAACTCAGACTCCATCATTCTAAAATCCCTTATTTTGGTGGACAGGTGAATTTCATCTTTCACTGCATTTGGCGTCATTGAAAGCTTCATTTTGGGGTTTGTTTTTGGCTGAGCCGCGGCTTCTGGGATTTTAGTTCCCCAACCAGAGATTAAACACAGGCCCATGGCAGTAAAGTGCAGCGTCGTAACCACAGGACTGCCAGGGTATTCCCTGAAAACTTCATTTTTGAAAACATTTATTGGGAACTACCTGCAGTGTATAGTCCATCCCTGGAAATGGTCTCAATTTTGAGTCGTGAATCACCCGCAGTATGAGAGAGCACGTGCCAGAGCGGGTCTCACCTAGGACCCTTTCCCAGCGTGCTCTTTGGTCCTGAGTTCAGATTCCTGCTCTGCTGTTTACTGTTTGCCTCCAGTTTCCTCATTTGAAAAATGGGTAACATCACACTGGAAATAGCTATTTCAATAAAAATTTTTAAGAAGAAAAAAAACAGGGATTTTGGTATCCTGCTTCATAAAATTGTTGTGGGATTAAATGGTGTGATGGTTGTAAAGTGCTCTGAACAGTTCCTAGAACACAGTCGGCACTTAATTATGGCGGTGGTGATTCCATCCACCAGATCACTTGGCGCCCCTGTGTAAGAACCGACAGGCCATGTTTGACCCAGAAACCGCTTCTCCAGAGCCCCCGGTGGATACTATGAATGAATGTAGTTTGGAGGTACAGGGGGCCTCGTGCGCAGGAATCCTGTTGGAGGAAAACCTTATTTTCAGGCTCTCAGTTCCTCCCTCCTACATTGTCACATCCATAATGAGTTGACTTCCTTGACTCTTTAGGGGGAAATTATAGTTAGACCCTCCTTTCCTTTATTTAAAAAACTTTTAAAAATCGTATGTATTTATTATTTGTTTGGCTGCATCGTTGTAGTCGAGGCACTGGGGATCTTCCTTGCGCCGTGTGGCATCTTCTGTTACACTGCAGACTCTCTAGTTGTGGCGTGTGGGCTCAGTAGTTGTGGTGTGAGCTTAGTTGCTCCGAGACATGTGGGATCTTAGTTCCCCGACCAGGGATCAAACCCACATCCCCTGCGTGCAAGGCTGATTTTTAACCACTGGACCGCCAGGAAAGTCCCAGACCCACCTTTCCTTTACTTGCCAGCATAATTCTCTACTTCATTTTCCAGCATAGTCACCACCTTTGTCTATTTCACCAGCCTGTCTCTTAGCCAGAAAGAAGGTGGGGGCCTAGGTTCAAGTTGGAGCCCTGGGCATGGCTTTCAAGATCCAGCTGCTGTCACTGGATTCACTAAGTACAGAATTGCTTACTAGGAGATGGGCCCTGTGTTATAGAGTCGGGAAACAAGTTCAAGATGTGGCCCCTGCCTCTCACCAAAGCTGGGCCGGATTGGATCCCCTGATGCTGTTATCTCATTGTTTCTCAACTTCCAATGCCTGCAGAGGGCCCTCCCTTTATAAACCAGCACGGGTGGGCAAGCGGGTAGCACCTGGGTGGAGAGTGTCCAGTTTTACTGTGTTTATACCTCAGGGAGCTGGGTGTGCCTGTGCCTGACCCTCGAGGCATTTCAGGTTGAGCCTCTCCTGTGAGGCTGTGGTTGCCGCAGATTTGGTGCATTCCTGTCCTCTCCTTTCTGGGGAACGAATAGGCTGAAATTCAGTTCTGTTTCCACTCATAGGTTTTAAGAAAATGGAGAGTTCTGTTCAATTTTGAGAGCAGTAAGTGTGCTGAGACTTCTCAGAGGCTGAGGAACAGGGTTACGTCTCAGTGAGATCCTTGGCTCCACCTCCCTTGTTGGAGCACTTCCTGGTTTGCTTAGTCACCTCTTGGGACCCAGTTTCTCGGCCCAGTCTCCCCTCCAGCTATTGGAATCCCTGATGTCCAGCTCCAGTGTGTCCTTGGTGGGACCGTGGCTATAAGTCAGTGCCTCCTGCGAGTCTTTCGCCCCTCCTGGAGCTTGATTGCTCTTGGCCCAGAGCAGGTGTTCATGTTTGTTCCCGCTTTGCTTCACGTCCCTTCCCAGCTCTCTCCTCTTTCTCCTTCACCTGCTTCTGCTGGCCTGGATGTCCCCTGGTCCAGACTTTTGGGAAGCTACTGTGGACCAGCAGCCTGCAATTAAGCCTTGCCAGGAAGAGTGATCAGAGTGTGAGAGCCAGCAGTGGGTCAGCTGCACCCCAATTAAAACAATACATTTAAAAAATAAAAACAGTAACAAAAAAGAGAGTGAGTGGTGGGATCCGTTGCCTGGGTTTCAGACCCGTCGGTGACTTGCAGTGTGATTCTAAGGGATCCCTTTTCTTTTTTCTTATTCCTCACTCCCAGGGTTTCACACTCACGCGTCATCTGCACACAGAGAACTTGAGCTCGTAGAGGCAGTGTTTGAGAACTCCAGAGGGGTCTGATAACGTGTGTGTGTTCTGGCCCACCAAAGTCCCTGTTCTGAGCCCTTTAGGTGGCGATCCGGGGTCCTGCTGCTACTGCTGGAGCCAGCACCCCTTTTAAAACTGCATACTCCAGGGATTTGCCTGGTGGCTCAGTGGCTAAGACTCCACACTCCCATGGTTGATCCCTAGTCAGGGAACTAGATCCGGTATGCTGCAACAAAGGTCCCTTGAGCCACAACTAAGACACAGTGTAGACAAATAAATATATATTTAAAGAAGAAACTGGTTAGCACATGTTCTCACTGCTCAGTCCAGGGTGTGTGGTACCCAGTGCAGCACTGAGTTTGTTCTTACACTTTGAGGAGATGTTGGGGGGGGGGGCGTGGCTTCCAGATATCATATGGAGCCCCAAAATATTGTGATTCTGATTCTCATCAGTTTCATTCTTTAATTTTCGTGGGCATTTTGTGTTCTGACCAAGAACCTTTTCAAGCTGTGTGACCTATAGACATGTGGATTGGAACCCTTGGAATTTTTTTTATTTCAAGGAAGATGGGTTTGAGGGATGAAGGGAGAGGAACAAGGATAGATGCCCTGGCTCTTTTCAACCCGATCAGTGATCTGCTTTGTGTGTACATGGGCCCCTGCCTTCCTTCCTCTCTCATGGAAGGACTGCAGTTTCTTTCTCTTTCTTCTTAATTTCTAGCATACTATTTTATTTATTTTTGTCTGCACTGGGTCTTTGTTGCTACAGGGGCTTTTCTCTAGTTGCGATGAGCAGGGGCTACTCTCCAGTTGTGGTGCGTGGGCTTCTCATTGCGGTGGCTTCTCTTGTTGTGGAGCACAGGCTCTGGGGCGCATGGGCTCAGCAGTTGTGGTTTCTAGGCTCTAGAGCACAGGCTCAGTAGTTGTGGCGCTCAGGCTTAGTTGCCCCGTGGCATGTGGGCTGTTCCCCAGACCAGGAGTCAAATACTTGTTGCCTGCCTTGGCAGGTAGGTTCTTTACCACTGAGCCACCAGGCTAGCCCATGACTTCAGTTTCTCTTCTTGTCAGCAAAAGAAACAGTGCCAGTTCTGTTTCTTCGGGCTACAGGGAGCACTGTGTGGGTAAACAAGCTCTCTCCTCAGCATCTGATCCGGGAGCCTCAGTTGGATGCGGATGTAGTGCCGAGGGCCCTGACCACGGGGACCCGTGTTCCAGGTCTGAGGGCTCATTCCCAGCCCTGTGGGAAGAGATCAGGAGCTCCTCTGCTCCTCTCCCCACTGCTGAGCTGGTTTAAGTTATTCCTGCCTGTGACATGGTGTCTCTTTCCATCTTCAGGTAGAATGGAAGAATCTCACTTCAATTCTAACCCGTACTTCTGGCCTTCAATCCCCACGGTCTCAGGACAGGTAGGTGGTGGTTGGCTCCCTTGTATAATTCTGTCAGCTCTGAGTAGCAAGTTCTGTGACTGTGGATGCCGAAGTAAGATAAATCCCATGCTGTCTCCCCAGGATTATATAGCGTTTCCACTCAGCTAATCTCTGGAAGCGCAGCTATTAACCACCGCCTTTTGGTCTCCACGGAGCAGGGTGCCAAGGGAGCTTGCGGGCTGGACCTTCTCTCAAAGGCTGCTCTCCCCTTCCTTTCCTTTCAGATTGAGAACACGATGTTTATCAACAAGATGAAGGATCAGCTGCTGCCAGAGAAGGGCTGTGGGCTGGCTCCGCCCCACTACCCCACCTTGCTGACAGTGCCTGCCTCGGTGTCCCTGCCCTCAGGCATCAGCATGGACACAGAGTCCAAGTCAGACCAGCTGACCCCGCACAGCCAGGCGTCGGTCACCCAGAACATCACGGTGGTCCCCGTGCCGTCGACAGGACTGATGACCGCCGGTGAGCACCTCCGCTCTTCTCCAATCTGAGGTGTTGATCTTCCGCGATCAGTACCCCAGGCTGGAGGGCGCCGGGGACATGGGGAGTGGGATACGTGTTTTGATTCCTCAATCAAATCTTTATTAAGTGCCTACTGTGTGCCTAGCAATGCGCTAGGCATTGTGGGGGAAACAAAGAAGTAGAAGATGCGGTCCCTGCCTTTGAGGAGGTGACATTCTTTCCTTCTCTGAATCAAGGCGTCTCCTGTTCTCAGAGGTGGAGAAGAGAAGGGAGTCAATCAAGGGGTAAATCTCACTGTTACCGGGGCGGGGTGGGGACAGGGGTTAGGAGACCGTTGTTTCTCTACAGGGCTTGGGGTTTCCTGTGTACTCCGGGTGGGGGGACGGTGGTGAGGGGCTACATAGACAATGATCTGGGGAAAATGAAGTAGGACCAGGGTGAGGACCAGACAACATGACACCATCTCCTTTTTCTCGCAATCCTAGGTCCCGGCCTGGTTATCACGTCCCCCTCAGGCTCCCTCGTGACCACAGCCACGTCAGCTCAGACCTTCCCCATCTCGGCTCCCATGATTGTCTCAGCTCTTCCCCCTGGCTCACAAGCCCTGCAGGTGGTCCCTGACCTCTCTAAAAAAGTAGCATCGACCCTCACCGAGGAAGGCGGCGGCGGCGGTGGCGGCGGCGGCGGCACTGTGGTGGCCGCTAAGCCCCCCCGGGGCCGAAAGAAGAAGCGGATGCTGGAGTCGGGGCTGCCTGAGATGAATGACCCTTATGTCCTCTCCCCTGAGGACGACGATGACCATCAGAAAGACGGCAAGACCTACAGGTAAGGGTAGAGCCGGGGGCTGGAGGGGTTGCCGCGCTCTCAGCTTCCCCGCCCCATCGGGCTCGGCGCTCTGGCAGCTTCCACCTCAGATCCATGTGCATGTCAGGCGTTCAGTTGAGGGGGAGGAAGACGGGGCTGCTGGCCCTTCTCTGTGGCCTCTTCCCCAGGAGGCAGACCCATCTCGCCCCTTCATTTTTGGGGGTCGTCAGCATTGACTTATTTGGGGGTGACATAATGGAATTTCTGTCTTGTTACGAGACTTTAGACTAGGTTCAAGACTCTTGTTTCTCATTTTTGCTTTCTACATTTTCCATTCCTTTTTTTCCAAGAAACTTTTCTGGTTAAGCAGCTAATCTTAACCTGTGTGCCATCCACCAGTTTGTGGGCCCTGTTTGAGCATTGAGCCTGCCTGACCCTGCATGGTTGGGATGACGGGATGATGGGAGGGGTCTGTATTAAAAGATGGAGCAAATAGGATCCCTCTCCTCCCCCCTGTGGAATATTCACTTGTTAAATGGCTGTTGGCTCACCTTCTCATTCATGGAAGTTCTTTTCGTCTCCTACTTCCTTTAAGTTGCCTATTGCCAAAAAGCATTCTAAGCATATTTGCATGTGATACTTTATGAAAATGGTTACATTATCTGAACTCCCTACCCTTTGAAAATTGGAAATTTTTATTCCCCTTGAGAACCATCAGGGGCCCTGGAGGGTTCGGGGAGTTTAACCCCAGTGTACAGAGTGGAGTAAGCACTGTGGAAGCTTTGACGCAGACGGGCAGACGTGCATGGCTGGGAGACTGGGTCTGTCCTTAGTGTACCGAGATGGGCAATGTTGTTCCCATTTTAGGAGCGAAGGGAACTGCGGCACAGGAAATGGACAGAGCCTTGGGCTCATGGATTCAGTTCCCGGCTCCACCACGAACTTGCTGTGTGACCCTGGGCAAGTCCTTTCCCCCTCTCTGGGCCTCAGTTTCCTCATCTGTAAAATGGGGAGAATTCTGTTTATGCCTCCCAGTTGTTGGGAGTATATATCAGATAAGATTGAAATGTTGGGAACTTCAAAACAGATAAGAAATGGTCATCACGTAGCATTTATTTATTTTTTATGTGTTGTACATTTCTACCATGGAGAGTTCAGAGCGTTTAAAAGTCATCTTGTAATTCAGAATGAGGGGAGTGTTGCTGTGCTCTGCAGAAAGTATTGAGCACTGCAGAATTCCAGCTCATAACCTGAAAGTTCACTGCAGCTTTATTATTGCAGGTGTACCCTACTTTATACAGTAAAAGTGTTCCTGAAAAATGTTTACATCATGTCATATCATAAAGGTACTTGACAAGCTTGATTCATTTAAAGGCATCGTTTTATATATTTAATAAAATGAAAATCCCTTTTAAATTTATACTGTACAAATCTGGGTTTTTATGTATTTGCTTAAAGTGAGGTCATTGTGACACAGAGCCACAGCTCAATGAATTCATTCCTTGTGGAAGTGATGCGAGGGCTCCCTAACACTGGGGGGCCCTTCACAGGGATCGGGGTCCTCTGATTCTGCTGTGGTTTCTCATGTGCTCTCTGGACCCACGTGAGAGCCATTTCTGGACTTCTCACACTGCATGTGCAAAGAAGTGTGAGCTTACAATTGGAGGACAGCCGTGACAGGACTTCCCACACCCTCAGTGTTTTTGGAATTCTTGACCAGCCTCACCTCCAGGTGGCTAAAGGGAACTCTGAATTTAAAGGGGACTAAATATTTAGGTTGGGAATATCCCCTGGAGAAGGGAATGGCAACTCACTCCAGTATCTTTGCTTGGGAAATTTCATGGACAGAGTAGGCTGGCAGACTCTAGTCCGTGGAGTCACAAAGAGTCAGACACAACTGAGAAACTAAACCAACACACCTATGTTATAGGTAAATGGAATTGCTTAAGAAACTCAGAACTCTGAGGTGCCAGAGGAATCTTTTTAATCATGAACAATCCCGTTTGCAATCCATGTGTGGGTCAACCAACCACGACCACTCCTGTGGTCCATAGCATTTGACTGGGCATTGAGGAAATTGGGTTCTTTTTCTGTGGGCAAGTAAACTTATTTCTCGCTCTCTATTCCCATCTGTAAAATAGGAAGATTCATCCTGGCCCTCATCTCTTGCGCAAATGTTCCGAGGAAAATCTGAGTATCCAAATGTTTTTGATCATCTTAGGGGAAAAAAGAGTCGTTAATTCAAAGCTGTTCATCTAACCAAGGCCATGGCCTTGCATGCCTCCACAGGGGCACCCTTGCGGCCGCCAGAGCTGTGTGCCCATGACTAGGACACTGGCCTTCCTATTCTGCCCACTGCCACAGGTCTCCTAATCAGGTTTCTCCCTGCCCCCCCCTCCCCCCCCCCCCCCCACACACACCTGGCATTAGATTTGTACTTATTTGGCTTCAGAGGATTTTGGAGATGGAAGTACATTAATGGTCACCTAAGCCTCCCTGTAGTTTCAGTGTTTAACTGTTTCTGGCAGATGCTGCAGTGGTCTGGTTCTCCCTCGATCCCTCTAGAGTGAGGAGAGTCAGGTGAGAATGAATCATAGGTTGTCCTCTGGCAAATGGCTTCACCTTTCTGAGCATTTGTGTTCCTGTCTGTAAAACAGGACAGTGCTTGCCAAATTGTTGTGAGGAGTGGAAACCGTGTGTTTAAAGGGCCTAATTCAAGGAACTTTCCTGGTGGTCCAGTGGTTAAGACTCTGTTCCCAATGCAGGGGGCCTGGGTTCGATCCCTGTTTAGAGAACTAGATCCCGCATGCCTCAACTAAGACCCAGTGCAGCCAAATAAATCAATGAATAATACATTTTTTTTTTTTTAAAGGGGGTCCTAGTTCAGGCACAGCAGCAAATGGCATCTGTTAATGCCCGTTAGTATTGAGTTATTATCACAATCATCTGTATGATACTCACCCCTCTGGAGATGGCACATTTTTGATTAAGTTTGGCAGATCTTCTGTAGTTTGAAAACTTTGATGAAGAGACTTGTTTCTCTTTTTTTATAATTAATTCCAGATGAAGGGTACAGTTATGTGTTCAGCATTCACATGCAAACTAATGAGGTTTCATTGGAATTAACATGAGTGGGTGTGTCTTTCCACCTGAGAAATCTTAGTGGTGGAAGGAATCTTGTAACTTTAGTGCAGTTTCTCCTCCAAGTGACAACCTGCCTAGTTTTTAACCTTGGTCTTAGTGAAATATAGAGTAGCATGAGCTCGTCCAGCACTGGTGCTACTAACATTAATGCAATTCTATCACTGGAGGACACTTGGCTTACTGTTGACCATTCTGGGTCTTTGAGGGCAGATATTTCTCTCTCCATTTTACAGACCAGAAAATCGAGGTCTAGACTGACAAGCAGGCCTGTAACTGAACCCTGCGTAGAGCCCAGGTGTCCAGACTTCCGTTAGACCCTGCTGACTATAAACAGCAACCGCCCCCCCCCGCCCCATACACACACAGATAGACACACACACACACAATGGGTGGATATCGCAGACTACAGCAAGGGGTTGGTCAGCTGGTAATTGGATTTCCTTCAGAGTTTTCAGGCAACTTGAGAATAGAAATTAGCCTTACTGGTGAGCATTTTAGTGGAAGCATTAACACAGGAACTGTATCCCCAACTCACTAGAGTCTCATCTTCTCTGAGGAGATCAAGAGTTCTTTTTAGTCCCCATCTTAATTATTCTCTGAAAATTCTCCTGGGATCAGAAAAAAGGCAGAATCCCCCTTCACCATCCCTGAGCTCCTTTTCAAGAAGGAGGACCCAGAGCAGAGGGTCCAGACTGCCCTGGCCCCCAGGCTGCGGCCCTCGCTGGCAGCCCATGTCATCTGCTGCTGAGTTGTTCAGGAGTGATAGGGTTCCAGCTCATGTAGAGACTACGTAGCTTTTTCCCAGTAAAGTCTAGATAGCTGTGACTTACCTTGCCCACAGACCTCCTGATTTGATATTGCTGGGCAGTGTAGTAGGAGGAGGATTGCCAGCTCAGGTGACGAGTGCAAGTTCACTCAGACACTGCTGATGCCAACCTGAGGTGCTGGCGTTGGCGCCAAGCAAAGGTTCAGTGGGAAGCTCAGTGTTTGGCCAGTCGTCTTCTCCTGAACGTTTGAGGGGTACAACCCCCTCCAGCAGTTTCCTTGGCTCATTGCAGAGGTAGTTCTCACCTGACTGGCAAGGGGCTGGGGGTGGGGTAGTGGGTGGAGCATTGGATACAGGGTGGAGGCCAGACACAGGGTTGGGGAAGGCCCCCTCCAAGTAATCCTATTTCTCCACCCCATCCCTCTTGGAAGGAATCTAGATTCACTGTCAAACAAGAAGTAGGAGAAAATCTGAGGAGACAGGAGAAAAGTCCTTCTGAGGAACCTAGTCAGTTTGTCCTTGTTGTCCTCTCAGGAGCTGGAGGGTTACCCAAGGAATGTCCTTTCATCATGGGATCCTGGAGGAAGGGGTGCTAAAAAGTCTGAAATCAAGTTACAGGCAGAAGGAAGACGGGTGTGAGGTGAATCCACATCAGCCCAGGGCCAGTCATAAGGTTTTCCTGTCTCACCTGGTTGAATTCTTGTTTATGTACACACTGGGGAGTCCAGGCATTAAGCAAACACTTGAATTAAATACTCACTTTGTACTGGGCAGTGTTGGAAGCGTAGGCTGTCAGGATAGATAAAATAGAGCCCCTCCTCTGGAGGGCCCACGGTGTGGCTGGCACAGGAGAGATCAGAGGGGTTGGCATCCCTGGCAGCGGAGGGGCGGGCTCAGCCACGCCCGCTCGGTGGACAGAGTCCTAACCGCTGCCCTCCCTTGGCCCAGGTGCCGGATGTGCTCCCTGACCTTCTACTCGAAGTCGGAGATGCAGATCCACTCCAAGTCCCACACCGAGACCAAGCCCCACAAGTGCCCACACTGCTCCAAGACTTTCGCCAACAGCTCCTACCTGGCCCAGCACATCCGTATCCACTCAGGGGCCAAGCCCTACAGTTGTAACTTCTGTGAGAAATCCTTCCGCCAGCTCTCTCATCTCCAGCAGCACACCCGGTAAGGCTGCTCTCAGTCCCCACCCCCACCCCCCACGCCTGGACCCTGAGGCCACGTGGCCAGCACCTCCTCCTCCTCGCTCCGCATTTTTTCCTGTGTCCCTTTCCACCTTGCCCCGGGGAGCCTCGACTCTCCCATTGCTGTTTGTGAAAACTAATGACATGTCCCTGCAGCTCGGGCGGGGTGGGGCCTGGAGACTTGTGCTCTCTGGCCCCAGAGACTGGACCGATCTGTGCGGTTTCTCTCTGTGTCTGTGTCTGGAAATCTTCTGCAGAGCAGGCCCTGCTCTTACTATATACTTCAGGTCAGAGCGAAGGTGCGCGTTCAGCCTCAGGTCCATGGGCAGCAGGCGGTGGTGGTCTTTGTTCAGATTACTGTGTGGAAGCAGGGTGTCCGTGGTGAGTGTGTGACCTTGGCCCAAAGCGGAGGGCTGACGAGCTGGAATTCTTTAAGGTTACTGGAGCCAGGGTGCCGCTCTTCATCATCTCACTGCCATTCTAGCCACCGATTTAAGATCAGCAGCAGCGTAGACGCGGGTGTCCTCTTCACCAGCCTCTCCAGGGGGGAGGGAGGCGGGGTGCTCTCTCGTCCATCAAGCAGCATCCTTGCACCCTGCGGAGAGCTGAGCCCGTGGTGTCGAGCCGCTCCCTCCTCCCCCTCCCTCCTCTCCTCTCCGGCAGGATCCACTCCAAGGTGCACACGGAGATCATCAAGCCCCACAAGTGCCCGCACTGCTCCAAGACCTTCGCCAACACTTCCTACCTGGCCCAGCACCTCCGTATCCACTCGGGGGCCAAGCCCTACAACTGTTCCTACTGCCAGAAGGCCTTCCGCCAGCTCTCCCACCTCCAGCAGCACACACGGTAAGGGAGAGTGGCAGGCTACTGCCCCCGCCCCGCTGGCATGCCCTCCCTACCCCCGCCCCGGACACACACAACAACCCGCATGCGGGGGGCGGGGGAGAGACCCGGCTGGAGGAGAGAGCTGGCACCGGGGAGGAAGACCACGCAAGACTGGAGACACCGGTGGACACTCAGAGATCTGCCTTTGTGGGTCAGAAGCAGTGCCGAGGAGACGCAATGACTGTGGGCCATTCCCTGATCTGAGGGAGGAGGAAACCCACTGAGAGCAGAGCTGACAAGTCTTTCCCTCATCCTCCTGCCTGGAAACAACCTGGCAAGTGCACATATCTGGCAAGATTTTCTCCTTGAGGACATTTGGTTGGAGAAGACCATCCCTCTAGCCCTTCGGGCACCAACTATGAACGGGAGGTAGAATGAGACTTCAGCCAGCTACCAGCCTGGAGACACCAACAGCACCTCACAAGGCTCCCAGGGAGGCCAGGAGTACAGAACAGAACACATCCTAAATGTGCACAATGAAACGAAAAGGCTCCTACCCCATGAGGATGTGCAGTTTGTCCCATGATCCTCGAGTAGCCTGGAGGAGGTGAGCCTGCGTTTGGAAGACCTGATGACCTTCGATGGGATGTCAAGTTGAGCTGGAGTCCAGGGTCTTGCTGGCCATAGGCCTCCTCTCCTGGCTGTTTCTGGAGGTGGCAGTTCCCCTTAAAGTGGTCCCACAGCTGGCTTCTCGAAGAGGAGGAATCAGGCTTTCCTCACAAGGAGACGCATCCTGCGAGGTTTTCAGGATTTTTACACCCGTGGTCTCAAAAAGCAGCCGGTCACAGAGATGCTTCTGAAGTCCCTGCCGAGGAGCAGGGGTCTGGAGACCCTCAAGTCCTTAGCTCGCCTCAGCAGAGGGCCCTGTAGTGTTTGAAGAGGTCAGATTTGTACTAATCTGGGCATTTCCTGCTGTTCGGGCAGAACTAGGCATAACCCCAGGAATTTCCAGGGTCATGTTGCCCTTCACAGTTCACATAACTCTGTGCTCTTCTTTGACACCAGAATTTTCTCTGGGAGTGGTGCTAAGGTTGAAGTGATAGTTTCTGGCTGTGTGTTGGGGGCCACGGGAGAAGTGTCCTGTGTTTCTTCTCACTGCTTTGTTTATCTTACGTTTCTGAACATTCGTGAGGGATGATTACTGTGGGAGCTGCCTCGACTGCCAGGTTGTGGTCTGACTGTCCCTTGGCTGCCAGGCCCCCAGCCTTCCCCTCCCCGCAAAGGAGCCTAGCTTGAGCCGTGTGGCATGGGCAGCAAGCAGAAGTTGGGCCTGTGGCCTGAGCTGGTGCCTCCTGGAGACCCGCGCCGTGTTCCCCGAGGAGGCCTGTTGAGGTGCTGGTCCCTGAGCGGCCCCACTGACGTGCTCTCCCTTTCTCCTTCTCTCATCCCATGCAGAATCCACACCGGGGACAGGCCGTACAAATGTGCACACCCAGGCTGCGAGAAAGCCTTCACACAGCTCTCCAACCTGCAGGTAACTGCTCCACCCCCCACACGGGGCCTGATGTCTGAGACTCGGGGGTGGAGGTGCCGTGTTACCAGCCAGTGGTTCTCAAACTTCTTCAGGATCCTTTACACTCTTACAGTCATCCAGGAACCCAAGGAGCTTTTGTTGACGTGGGTAATAACACCTAATTACAGAGATTATCAAACTGAAAAACTGTTTAGTAATTTGTTTATAAAAGTAACAAACAGGGACTTCCCTCGCGGTCCAGTGGTTAAGACTGCACTGCCAATGCAGAGAGTGTGGGTTTGATCCCTGGTCAGGGAACTAAGATCCCACGTGCTGTGTGGCTCAGCTAAAAGATTTTTTTTTAATAATTAAATTTTTAAAATTAAAAAAAATAACAAACCCCATTGCACATCAGCATAAATATCTCTAAATCCTCCCCCCACCGCCCGCCAAAAAGAAAATTGAGAAGAATGGCATTATTTTATTTTTATGCTTCCTTCTCTAACATCTGGCTCACTGGAAGATGGAGGGACTCTTCGTGCTGCTTTTATTCTATTCCATGTTAGACATCACATTATCTGTACAGTCAGGAAAGAATGATCATGAAAAAACAAACGGTGTCTTACTGCCACTATTTTGACAATACTTTTGACCTGGCAGTCCCCTGAGAGGTCTTTGTGTTCCCCAGTGATCCCCGCACCTCTCTTTGAGAACCCCTGAATGAATGGCCCCGGCATAGCCGCCAGTCTCACTTTTGGGATCCTGGTGCTTGTTGCCCTAGGGGTGCTACTTCCTTTAGCTGCTGCCTCCTGAGGTTACATCTGAAGCAGTTTCTCCTGTCTGTGGACAGAAGCAGAGGCCAAGAATCCTGGCACCGAACTCAGGGCTTTCCATTAAGGTCAAGGAGGCGGGAGGGCAGAGTCTGGTGCACCCATCCTCATTCCTCCCAATTTTCTCAGTCCCACAGGCGGCAGCACAACAAAGATAAACCCTTCAAGTGCCACAATTGTCACCGGGCGTACACAGACGCAACCTCACTGGAGGTGCACCTGTCCACGCACACAGTGAAGCATGCCAAGGTGTACACCTGCACCATCTGTAGCCGGGCGTACACGTCGGTGAGTGCTCTCCCCACCCCCCTCAAGCCACTGCACCCCACCTTTCTGATAGAGCTGTGACCACGCCTCCTCCCTTGCTCCAACTTGCCAGAATCAGGAAAGAGAACCGAAGTGAAAAAGACACAGAGCTAAGGATTGTAGAGGATGCCTGGTCTTTTAAACCTGGACCGACTGCTCAGCAGTGATTCTTCATTTTTCTTAGACATAAGACGAAAGCACCTTGAAATTGTGAGATGAGATTTCAGTTAGACCTCTTCATTAGACTCTGGGGCTTCCCAGGTGGCGCTAGTGGTAAAGAACCCACCTGCCAGTGCAGGCTATCCCTGGGTTGGGAAGCTCCCCTCAAGGAGGAAATGACAACCCACTCCAGTATTCTTCCCTGGAGAATCCCATGGACAAAGGAGCCTGGTGGGCTACAGTCCCTGAAGTTGCAAAGAGTCAAGACACTGAAGAGACACACACACACATTAGATTCCAGAAAAAGGTGTTCAGGTTGTTCTGTTAAGAGAGGTTGGAGAAAATGACAGCGTTCCCTGTGCCAGTTGAATGCCCACAGTGACCGTAAAGGTCCCCCTCTCTTGTCCACCCAGCAGTGAGCCCTGAAAGTGGCTTCAGAGGAGAACCTGCAAGGTTCTAGAACACCTCTGTATCCATGTTGTTCCATTTAAAGCAAAGTAACAGCTATGTTTTCCTCCCCTCAACTCCTTTTCCATCTCCCCCAGGAAACGTACCTGATGAAACACATGCGCAAACACAACCCTCCTGATCTCCAGCAGCAGGTGCAGGCGGCAGCAGCAGCAGCAGCAGTGGCCCAGGCCCAAGCTCAAGCCCAGGCCCAAGCCCAAGCCCAAGCCCAGGCCCAGGCCCAAGCCCAAGCCCAGGCCTCTCAGGCTTCGCAGCAGCCACAGCAACAGCAGCCACAGCCACCACACTTCCAGTCCCCTGGGGCAGCCCCCCAGGGTGGGGGTGGCGGGGACAGCAACCCGAACCCTCCACCCCAGTGTTCCTTTGACCTGACCCCCTATAAGACGGCGGAGCATCACAAGGACATCTGCCTCACCGTCACCACCAGCACCATCCAGGTGGAGCACCTGGCCAGCTCGTAGAGACCTGTGCTGCCGGCCACTGGGAAGAGGGGGAGGAAATGCCGGTCCCTCCTTTCTCCAGCTCCTCCCGGTGGGAAAAGTCCTCTTCTTCTTTGACAGGCCACAGCTCCACCTCCTTGGGCCTCAGGCGCGGCCTTCCTTCCCAGGATACCATCCTTATTCTCAGCTCCTCTTCAGAAGGAACGTCAGCCCTCCCGATGGGCAGAGGAGTACTGAGCTGGTAGCGTAATCCGGCAGCCTCCCTGCCTAAGCATAGCTTTTAAAATTGGGGGTTGGTGCTCAGGGGAGGGGTTTGCTATGACCTCACAGAGACTATTCCAGCGGGGCACTTACTCTCTCCTCACCCTCGTGATCCTCCAAGCTCGGGCTGATAAGAGGACTAGAGGTTGGCCCTCCCGGATGTCAGAGCAGAGGGAGCCCTAAATGCAACCAGCCTCCTGTTCTACTCTTGCCTGCGAAAAAACAGAGGTTCCTCCCGTGCCCCTGTCCCTGGGAGCCATTTTCTTTCCCTCATGACCTCACTTCAATTCTACCTAATACCGGAAGGAGGTCTGGGGGTGGGGGATCAAGGGCTGAGATGTGGTCCCCAAGGGGCCAGAGATCCCCAAAATGGTCAAGGTGGCTTAGAAGTGTGGGTTATGGTTTTCCTTGAAGTCTCTCCCCTTCTTTGCCAGCCGATGCCCTGTGCTCTGTCTCCCAGTCCCCAGCCTAAGGAGCTGTGGGTTCCTTATGAAACCCCACAAGGGAGTGCTGCAGAGAAGGGAGAGTTCAGGGCAAATGCAAAGACTGGACTTAGCTCCCTAGGTGCCACGGTCAGTTGCCGGACACGGATTTATATATAAATATATATATATAAATATATATATACCCACTCATCACGGCCATCTTTGTTGTAACCATTTCTGTGTTTATAAATGCATTATCTCAGAATTTTCATATTTGATGTTTTGTTTATTTTTGTCCCCTTTTTGTTTTTCTCCACCCTGTCTCTTGGCCAGCAACATTTTTATTTTTTGTCTTTTTTTTTTTTTTTAAATCATGGCAGATTTCCGAGAAAACAGAAAATGGGGGAAAAATCAGGAAACAAGTTGTTATAAAGCAATTTAAAATGAAGAAAAAAAAAGAAAAACTTATGTACAAAACCAAGGGGTGTTTTTAGAACCTTGTATAGAAATAAATTCGTGTAAAAGGATCAGAGGCAGTGGAGCTACTGATGTGAGTATAAGCATGGGGGGAATAGCTATCTGGAGAGACATTCAAGGCCAGGACAGAGGATTGACAGTAATGTGTGTATGGTAAGAATGAATGCTGTGCGATGGGGCTGTGTGTGTGTGTGTCTGTCTGTCCCTAGCCACAGAAAGCCACACAGCCTTGAAATTTCTGAAGTGGAACTTTGGTTTACAAGGATTCCTACAGACAAATTCTGTGTTGAGGACCAAGTACCCAAGTATGTGAGAGCAGGGTATCAGTCATGCGTTAACAGGACACCATGAAGCACCATATCCAAAAAATGGGAGCACAGTCTCCTGGAAAGACCTGTGGATCCAAGGGCTCAGTGCTAACTTCAGCTGTCACCTAAAACCAGAGGTTTCCAGTGGTGGACACCATCACCAGGACTGAAGAATGACAGGATGGTTGTGCTGAGGCGTAGTGCGTGGTTGGGAAACCCTGACTTTAGCCCCGGCTCTCTCCTATCAGCCAGTGTTGGTGGTGATGCTGCTTCAGCTGTTAAATTAAGGGATTGGGCCAGATCACCTCTTAAGATTTGTTTGAAAATTAAAGATCTTTAAGCACTGAAAAAGCTGTGACAAAGCTCCCATGTCCAACAATGTGGCCATCATCTCTGGGACTGCTGGACACCTACTAGTTACCTGGTGGGTGTGGATAATCAGTGAAGTAAGGCCTCTTGGTTTAGGGTGCAGGATCTTGTGTGGGCATCAGAGTCTCAGTCTGTAGTGTGACAGGAATGAATGTACCACATGTGACCAGGTAGGTGGTGTCTGTTAGTTTCCTGAATATTTACTTTTCCCCCCTTGTTCTCACTAACTGTTGAACTGACACTAACAAACAGCCCTACCTTCATCACAGGTATTACAATCAGAATTTACCCTCTTGAAGGATATGCATACTCATAGTAACAACCCTATATGGTCATTTTGTAGAGAAGGAACTGGGCATGGAGATTAAATTATCCAGGGGCCTGCTGCTCGCGAGGTAGGACATCTAGATTCTGTGGCCAGATGGTACCACCTGCTCAGTAGTATATCTGGGGTTTCACTTTGCCCTTTTTTAAACATTTTATGTGGCTGAAAATGTCATAAAAACCTGCCATGTGACATCGATAATTATCAAGAATGTGTGGCTTAGGGATGACAGTGATCTCCAACACACTCCGGTTCTGGTCACCGACATCTGCGTCCCCAGTGTGGTAGCCTGTCTGCACTTGGTGGCTTTCCATCCTGATGAGAAGTGTATTTGTCACTGTGCTGTCGCGGGTCAGGGTGATAGCTGGCATCCATCTGGCCCAGTTGTGACAGCTCTGTGCCAGTTAACATCATACATAAACGAATAAAAATGGAGACAAACATGGGAGGACAAGGCCAACAATATTGTCACTGAAAGCAGGAACATCCTGGAGTGACAAACCCTTACAAAAGGTGAGGAGAGTCGCAGCTTTATTGTGAGGAGTACTTTGTACTTACAAGCAGCGTTTATAAATAATGAGCTGTTTCCATGTTAAAACATAATCCTGGAGAACTGGCGTTCGCGTGAGTGAACAGAAACGGGGAGGATTTACACTTCGCCGTGACTGGAGAAGGCACCTGCCCTGGTCGCCAGTTTCACATTTCCCGGCTGCTGAAAACAGCTCCTCGTGGACTAAAAGCCCAAAGAGACAGGTCTCCTCGCCCGCACGTCCCCCTCCTGGAGGGAACCGAAGTTTGAGAGAGGACGCAAAATGGCGCCCTCAGCCAACGCCGCCGCCGGCCCCGCGCCCGGCCGCCCCGCCAGGGACGAGTGTCTGCGCCGGGAGGAGGCGATTCGACGGGCACTGTACTCAGACCGGAAATTGACCTCGTGAGGGCGGAAGTTACCCTTGAGGGCGGAAGGGCTCCAGGACGCGGGTGGAGGACCGCTTCGGCGCCCGTTGCGTTCAGTCACTTCCGGGGCGGAGCGGAAGTTGCTTTGTTTTGCTTCAAGATGGCTGCGGGGATGTATTTGGAACATTATCTGGACAGTAAGAGCAGTCTGGAGGAGCGGGTCATGGGTCACAGAGGGGTGGGGGTGGGGGTTCGGGTTGAGGAGCTCTATGGCCCTGAAATCCCGATGGTCAGAAAGTCAATCGTGAAGGGTTGCGTGAGAGAAAATACTGGAGTGTGTGAAGAAATAGGGGGCGGGGCAGCGGGGTCGAGGCCTCGTCTGAGGTGTAGAAGAGGGAGGGGCTGTGCGGCGGGCTGGGGGACGGCTCTTGAAGGGCTGGTAGGCATAGCCGGGAAGATATTTGCTGCCCCTGTCTTCAGGGTCTCCGGCGTCAGGATAATCTTTTTTTTAAAGTCGTTCTGAATCGGTCGTTTTAGTATATCATAGACTGCCATTGGAGCAGCGACAAAGACCTGCTCGCGCTTCTCCGCCCAGTTCTTTCGAAGACGCGTCTTCTCATGGGGATAGGGGGTTACGAGTGACCACTGTCAGATGATGGACTGGAAGGCTTCTCTTGGAGTAAAGACCCAATTCCCATCAGATGGAAATCTGGTGTTCTGTTTATGCCATGTGTGTGACCCATCCCTTCACAGAGCCTGTCACCCTATTCTCTTAGTTTTGCCTTAGCGTTGGGAGTCATTCATTCGTTTATTGAGGTCCTGCTGTGGGTCAGACATAATGGCAGGTACTGGGGGTATACAAGAATGAATACCACACAGACCTTCCCCTCAAGGTGCTCATAGACTAGTAGGACACAGATTTTAATAAATAATTATAAAAGTATGACAGATGAAATAACAAAAATACATGAAACGGACAGTTGGTAATATTGGAGAAAGACAGACTAGTTTACCTGGAGGTGTAGGTAAAGCTTTACAGAGGATGTGAGGAATCTTGAAGGTTGAGTGTTTATTTGCCGGTGTGGAGAGGGAGAGGGGATTGACGGTTGAGGGAAGCATCAGCAAAGGTGTTCTGATGGGTTTGTGGCAAGATCAGGGAAAGATGAGGCCAGAGTGTTTGATGTATAGGACTTTGAGGTGAAAGATTGGGAAATGACACTGGAGAATGTAGCTGACGCTAGGTTGTGCATGGTCTTTAAAGCCAGGCTAAGAAGCTTGCACTCTAAATAGTGGGGAACCAACAGATTTTCTAAATGGAGTCATTTATTTATTTATTTTTAATAAAGGAAAGTAATTGATGTATGGTAAACTGGAGCATGATGGCCCTGGTAATACAAGATTAATAAGTAATAACAGTTCTGGTCAGAGATGAGGACCTGATCTCAAGGAGTGACAGAAGTATTTAGGAGGTAAATATAACAGGATTGACTGAATTAGTGGTTGAAAGAGGAGGAGGAATCTAAGGTGACTTCTCGATTTCCTGTTTGGGAAGTGAGGTAGACATATATCATATATGTCTACATATATCAACAAGATGTCATCAACAAGATAGGAAATTCAGAAGTTACTAAGATACTTAATTCAACCTAGACTTAAGCATGGGAATGATAATTGTATCTGTAAGAGTAAATGAGATGGAGATCATTCAGAGAAAGTATGAGAAAATAATAGGATTAACTTAAGTGTAAGCTCAAGAAAATAGTAACATTTAAGGGACAGGCTAAGGGAATGTCAGTGATGAAATTACTTGAAAGTGTGTGAGGGGATTTGGAATCTTAATAGGAAGTTACACATAGGCAAGAGGATGGTGAGAATGCTGCAAACATTTTTTTAGGATAGAACTAATAATTAGATTATTTGATTTGGTAAATCAGTGGTGACTTAATCTTAGTAAACTGATGGTAGACCTGAGTCTATAAGTTAAAGCAGTTAACACATTTTAAAAGTTTGAAAGTGAAGTCATGGAAAGAGAATTTTTTTTTATGAGAGAAATATAAGTATTCGTGCCTTTATAGTCAATTATTTATTGAGGATCCTCTGTATGCATGTCATAGTTCTAAACACTAGGGAAATAGAGAAGATGACAGACATATCTAACCCTTCTGGAGAGCTAGGGAGACATACCATATAACTAATTACATAATTACGTATTTAATTACATTGAATAAGTGCCCCCAAAGTGTCTACCCTGCCAAAGGGTAGCCATAGAATAGCATGACAGCATAACTCAGGGCACTTGTTGGGACTCTGCAGCAGTCAGGGTTGAGCTGAACTTTGAACAGAAGTTCAGTAGGCCAAGAGGGATAGTGGAAGTGGGGTGAAAGAGAAGGGGCAGGGCATCCTGGGCAGAGAGAGCAGTGTGTGGAAAGCGAAGTGTCTGGAAGAGCACTGGCAAGTTCAAGGCACTCAGAGAAGGCCAGTGTGACAGAGCAGAGAGCGCAGAAACAGGGACTGACCTGAGTCGGGTCTGGTGTGCAGCAAGGGCCAGAAAGTGCAGGGTAGGACTTGGGAATATTGCAGTAGGAAGTGAGGTTGATAAACAGGAGAGTGACATGATCAGATTTGCATTTTTAAAAAGAACATTCTGGCTACTGTTTGCAGAGCAGATTGGAAGTGTGTGTGTGATCAGTGGAGGGTGATCACTTATCACCACACCAGGAGGGTGTTTATAAGTTGAGGGCAAAGAGATCTTTTTATAAAAAAAAGTATTTATTTGGGTGTGCCAGGTCTTAGTTGCAGCATGC